TGTGTGTGCATGTATGTGCATGGGTACTAAAGTGTAGTATGATATATGTAGACAGACAGGTTTGGAGGTAGGTCCTGGGGGGGGTACCATATATATATATATATATATATATATGTATGAATATGTATGCTGTTATACGTGTGTGTATATATTATCTATAAACTATGAAAGCCTTATATAGAATATCTTAGTCAAACGCCTGGCTTCGCAGGGTTTAGCTTTAAGGATCGGGTTTTGGCCTTGTCTAGTTAGGCTTTGTGGGAATTCTCATGTGGGGCTCCCTAAACCCTTAACCCTAAACCCTAAACTCTAAACCCTAAACTATGTTTCGGAAAGCCTAGGAGCCCCGTGCCCTGTCTTGGCTACGCCCTTCCCTCCCGAACTCTTGCGCCCCTGCGCCCAGGGTTTAGATGTTGGTTCCTCCTTCCCAGAGCCATGGGTCCCAGGGGTGGCTGCACACACAAAAAGCCTGAGAGAAGTACTATGAGCTATATCCTTTAGAGTTTAAGGTTAAGGGTTTAGGGTTTAGGCTATATGACCATGGGAAACTTGTTGATTTCCATTTATGGTTCCTGTGGAGGTGCCTATCCATGAATACTTTTAAGGGCTCCCAAACTGCGACCCAAGTACCGGCACGAGTCTCAGTTGTAGAAGTTTCCCTCGAGTCCATCTGAGCTCTGACCCTAAACCCTGTTTCCCAAACCCTAATCCCTAAACCCTACTCCTAAATCCCGAAAGCCTCCTGCCCCAAACCGCATCCTTCAGCCACAGCGACGCGCCACAGGACTGCGTGTTGGCATTCCACAGGGCGCATCCAGCGCAAAGAGGGTTGGCTTCGGGACCTCGGGGACGATGAGATTTTAGAGCTAGGGATTCAAGGCACAAGGGCTTTGTCAGGCCTTGTAGGAGTTTTTTTTCCTGGCTTAGTAAGGCTCTGATAGGGTTTCGGAGTTGGTGTTTGAGGAGGGTCTAAGATCCTCACAGAATGCCCCTGCGCCTCTTGAGAACTTTGCAAAACCGGGTTTAGGGTTTGGAGTTCAGGGCTTCGCCCGTTTATAGCATCAACCCTAAACCCTCAACCCTAAATCCTAAACCCTAAACCCTAAACCCTAAACCCTAAACCCGAGCTCCAAAAAACACGACAGCTCGGTCGGGTGGCAGCAGGTCTCCGTCACACCGTCGAGCATGTATTCACGCAGCAAGATCTGGCTTCAGAAAAACTTGCGGGGGTGCGTTAGAAGGCTTAGGGTTTAGGGTTTAGGGTTTAGGGTTTAGGGGTTTAGGGTTTAGGGTTTAGGGTTTAGGGTTTAGGGTGCTGGGGTGCGTTAGAAGGCGTAACCGGTACGTAGCGGTGAGGCTTTCAAGGGTTCCTTGGGGCCTTGAAGGGTCTTAAGTAAAGGTTTCATAGGGATACAAACAGGGCCGCATGAAGATTGTACAAGAGTTCCATGTGTCACAGAGCCCACAATTTGGCCTAACACCCTTTACTCAAGGCAATTCCTGGAGCACTCTGGGTTTCTTATGATGATTTGAGGAACACTCTACACTCTATTCATTGAGCTGCATAGTGCAGATACAGGGACCTTAATACTCAGAATAGGGTTTAGGGTTTTGGGGCCCTTGATACTATGCTTATAATAAGGAGCCTCCACAATAATAGTATTGGTAATCATTGAGGCCCCTACATTATTGTGCTTTAAGGAATAT